CACATTAGATTGCACGCGCAGTGCCCCAAATTTGTTGTGATCTGTGAGTAAGGTAAACGGTTGTCCTTACAAGTAGGTTGCAGCTTTTTGAGGGCCCACACCACCGCTATGCACTCCTTTTCAATGGCAGTGAATATACTTCGCTGTGCAAAAGTTTACGGCTTAGATAAGCCCCGGGTTGCTAGCCACCATCTGCTCCGACTTGGCTCAATGCTGCTCCCAATCCAAGCATAGAAGCGTCTGTATGGCCGAGAAAGTGTTTAGTTGGATCAGGAGAAGAAAGTACAGGTGATTTAATGAGCGCCGTCTTGGGCTGTTGGAAGGCCTGTTCACATTCTGGGGCCCATACTACTATCTTGGGGAGGTTTTTACACGTTCCTATATGGCACTTACTGGGCTTTAGGGTCAGTCGGACTCCCTAATCCGGTCTATTACGGCTCCTATGTGGGTCAGGTGTTCGGGCCAGGAGCTGCTAAAAATGTCTATACCATCCAAGTAGGTGTGTATCCGGTGTGTATCAGGGATCCTTAGGACGGGTGTCAATGTATCTGCCAGGCGATTATGTTGGGGTAACATTCCCTATTCTGATCTGTGTCAGGAGGTGTGTATCAGGGGGCCACGAGGACAGGTGTCAATCCATATCTGCCAAGCCAAGTGACCCTATGTAGGAGGAATAGTCCCTATTCTGCTCTGTGTCAGTGTGTATCAGGGATCCCTAGGACAGGTGTCAATCCATATCTGCCAAGTGACCCTATGTAGGAGGAACAGTCCCTATTCTGCTCTGTGTCAGTGTGTATCAGGGATCCCTAGGACAGGTGTCAATCCATATCTGCCAAGTGACCCCATGTAAAAAAGGCCTGATGAGATGAGCTGCCTTGGGCTAAAAATGGTCCACACGCTGCTGTATTTTAGCTCTGAATGCCTGTTGACTTGTGTGACTTATCCGCCACCAACTTGGGTTCAAGCCACCAGTGTGTACTTTATAAATGGCTTTATAAAGCAGTGTGTACTTTATAAATGGCTCCACCTGCCACCCGTACAGCAACACAGTCTCCAGTTAGGAGGACCAACCAAGCATCTTCTTCCATCTGCCTGTTACAAAAATTACTGCCGTGTACACGACCACTGATAGGAGACGCGGAAGGTATTAAACTGATAAAAATAGTACTAAACACACCACTCCTATCTGGTGTCACATTAGCTTGACCGCGCAGTGCCCCAAATTTGCAGTAAGAGGACTGACCAAGCCTCTTCTTCCATCTCCTTGTTACAAAAATCAATGCCGTGTACACGTCCACTGATAGGAGACGCGGAAGGTATTAAACTGATAAAAATAGTACTAAACACACCACTCCTATCTGGTGTCACATTGGCTTGACCGCGCAGTGCCCCAAATTTGCAGTAAGAGGACCGACCAAGCCTCTTCTTCCATCTCCCTGTTACAAAAATCAATGCCGTGTACACGCCCACTGATAGGAGACGCGGAAGGTATTAAACTGATCAGAACAATACTAAACACACCACTCCTTTTTTTTGGTGAGGCTTTACAGGACAGAGTGCTTCTCCACGGGACATGTTAACTCACGGGCAGCTGGCTCATCAAGGAACCACAGCAGCTTTCCATGTACAGGTAAGACACGTGCAGCCGGTAAGGGTTCAGGCTCTTCTTCCTGGAGGATACGCTGCAAGCCTGTTGAACGAGGTGACCTTGCTCGGGTCCCAGGTGTACGGTTCCTAAAATGGCTGCCATACACGTCCACTGATAGAGACGCCGGAAGGTATTAAACTGATCAGAACAATACTAAAACACACCACAAATAAGGTTTCTCTCCTGTATGGCTCCTCAAATGATGCTTAAGATTAGAAGCGGCTGAAAAGCATTTCTCACACTCCGAACAAAAATATATATTTTTAACATTCTCTCCACTTTGAACGAAATGACGTTTGGGAAGAGATTAACATAATTAAACACAGGCAGTAAAAATACAGTTTTTAGCCATACACTGTAACTTTAAAACTACACATCCCATCTTCATAATTACATATTTGGAATCAGCACACTTAAAACATAAACATAACCAAAAATCAGCCAAATCCATCCAGGGGTTAAAAAGTTAGCTGGAGGTCCCTTTATGACCGACTGCAAGCACATTTTCCTGCCCAAAACAGTTCCATAGATTTGGGCTGTGAGGTCGGTCTATTTCAGGCTGAAAAAACGACTAAGTCCCATCGCGAATGGGACTTAGTCTCTGCAGCTGAAATAAGGCTGAAAAAAACGGCTGAAAAAAAGACTAAGTCCCATCGCCGAATGGGACTTAGTCTCTGCAGCTGAAATAAGGCTGAAAAAAACGGCTGAAAAAAAGACTAAGTCCCATCGCCGAATTCGTTTCGGGCCTATTCGTTTCGGGAGGGGTAGTTATCGAGGTGGTACGCCACTGATAGCACCATACATAACGTCACCCTTACTGGATCGAATTTTTAGGATTCTCTAAGGGTTATGACTGGGTCTTGCGGGTTAGTAGGCCCAGTCGTGGCCGTTCCCTACATCCTTTTATTGTGCCCTTCGAGTTAGTTTGTGTCGACGTTAGGGTGGCGTAATGTGGTTATTGCCCAGGGTATGGGTAGATTTAAACCCCAGCATGGGATGTCATCAACATTTAAATTAACATATTAACATAATACAATATAGAAAACAAAATAACACTTGCTAGTCCTTGGGAGGTCAGCGATCTTCCTCTCTTTGCGCCGCTTGTCGTTGCCTTTGTGGGCGCCAATCAGCCCCTGGTGCCGTGCTTGAGCTTGCGTGGTGTAGGTTCTGGGCTAGGCCCCATTTGTGCAGGAGATCTAGGCCTTCCGCTGGGGTTGATGCTGTGGTGAGTTTTCCTCCTTTCGTGATGAGGAGTTTCGCCGGGTAGCTCCATCTATAGGGGATGTTGTGGTGCCTTAGTACCTCAGCCACTGATTTGAACGATCTTCTGCGTCTAAGTGTATCTGCTGAGAGGTCTGTGAATAGGAGGATATCTTTGTACTTGTCTGGTAAATCTTTTTTTGCTCTATGGGCGCGAAGTATCTGGTCTTTTACGTGAAAGTAATGGAGCTTCATGAGCACGTCCCTTGGCGTGGCAGTCGGTAGGTGTTGTGGTTTGGGGATTCGGTGTATTCGATCTAATAGGAGCATGTCTGTTGGTATGTCTGGTAAGACATGTCGGAAGAATTCCACCGTGAAGGCCGTTAAGTCTTGCGTTCCCACCTCCTCTGGCACTCCCCGCAGTCTGATGTTGTGTCGGCGGGATCTGTCCTCTACATCTGTAAGCTTGGCCTCATGTAGGGATAGTCTTTTTTCCATTTCGCTCAGTCGGTTGTCAATCGCCGTGTGTGCTGTGTCAATATCCTCTATCTGTCCCTCCAGTTGGGATGTCCTTGCTTCTATGACAGTAATATCTGTCTTTATGTCAGCAAGTGCAGATGTGATTGTTACTTGCATTTTGGAGACTGCTGCATCAAGCATTTTCTGCAGTAGATGAGTAGTTAGCAGGGTGTCCGTTCTGTAATCTTGTGCGCCCATGTGGTCGGCATCAGGATCAGACTCGACGCCATCTTGGGTGTGAGTATCGGTGTGCTTGTGTTGCGGCGTTCTGGCCGCGAAGAAAGCCACTTTGTCTTTGGTTTCTGCAGCTTTTTTAGTGCGGTGTTGAGACATCGTGTTGGTGTGTCTGGTGTCCGGGAATCTGCCTAATTGTAAGTTTTTAGCCGCTTTCAGGAGCCCAAAACTGCGGAGCTCTTTCAATGTGCTGCCATCTCCGTTCGACGTCCGGCCACGCCCCCACTATTATGTAATGTTTTAAAGTGCAAGGACATATTGTGTTTCTCATAACCTTTTTTGATATTCCTCACATGTTCATTGATGCGTACATGTAGGGCACGTTTTGTCCTCCCCACATAGTACAGACCACATGGACACTGTAAGATATAAATTACTTTTTTAGAAAAACATGTAGTCTTTGTTTTTAATTTATATTCTTTTTTATTTTGAGGATTTTCAAAGGATGTAAGGTGCCTCCTATCAGTTTTAGTATTTCTGCAAGCCAAACATTGACCGCACCCAAAAAAAACCTTGTTTTTGGAAAAACTGAGTTGTTTTTTTTCTTTTATATAATTATTTGTTAAAAAACTTTTTAAATTTGGAGCACCTCTATATAGAATTCTAGATTGGTCAGGTAGTATGCCATGTAGTTTGGGATCATTCTTTAAAATAGGCCAATGCTTTCTCATTATTTTTCTTATTCTGTTATTATTTTGATTAAAATCACAAATAAAAGAAATCTCTTTCATCAACTTTCATCTTTCTTAGGTTTATATTCTAGAAGAGTTTGTCGATCTTTCTCTTCTACTTCTTTCATAGTATTTTGTAATGTTGTGTTTTCGTACCCTTTTTCTACAAATTGATTCTTAATTCTATAACCTTGACTTTTAAAAGTATCTATATCTGTACAATTTCTCCGGACTCTTAAAAATTGTGATCTTGGGATATTTTTCAGCCAGGGGGAAAAATGGCAGCTTTTAAGACTAATGTAATTGTTTACGTCAACTTTTTTTAAAAATGTTTTGGTTTTTAGTACGTTATTTTCTACATAAATAGTTAAATCTAGAAAATTTACCTTTTCTCTACTATATTCTGTGGTGAGAACTATTCCCCATTGGTTGTTGTTTAAAAAGCAGAGAAAATTTTGTAGTTCCTCTATCGTTCCTTTCCAGATAAATAAAATATCATCTATGTATCGCTTATAGGTGACAAGGTTCGCGCTCCAGCTAGGGTCTTCCAAGATGTAATTGTGTTCCCAAAACGCCATAAATAAATTAGCGTAACTGGGCGCGAACCATGTCCCCATAGCGTTACCGCATTTCTGCAAATAAAAGTCATTTTGGAACCAAAAGTAGTTGTTTTCCAAAATTAATTGTATCCCTTGAAGGATAAATTGGATTTGTTCATCCGGATAAAATTGTGCCTGTTGAAGGAAAAATCTAGTTGCTTCTAACCCTTTTTGGTGGGATATAATGGTATATAAAGACCCTACATCGGCAGTAACTAAAATAAAGTGAGGTTCCCATTCTATTTGTTTTAAAACTTGAATGACATTAAGTGTATCTTTAAGGTAACTAGGTATATCCTTCACTACCAATTGTAGACATCGATCTAAATATTCCAAAAGTCTACTAGAGACTGAATCAATCCCTGAGACTATCGGTCTGCCGGGTGGATTTATGAGGTCCTTATGTATTTTAGGAAGATGATATAGTACTGGAATTTTTGGTTTATTGCTATTTAAATATTTAAACTCTTTATCATTTAATATTTCCATTTCTTTACCTTTTTGAAATAATTCCTCACATTTTTTACTTATATCATTTGTTGGATCCCCTGGTAGGCTTACAGTACGTATTAGGGTCCTCTACTAATCTCAAACCTTCCTGGATATACTTTTTTGTATCCATAACTACTATTCCCCCCTCCTTTATCTGCTGGTTTTATTACCCTACTATTATCTTTTTGTAATTTTTTTAGGGTTAACCATTCCTGTTTATTGAGATTCATCCATTTTTTGTTGTCTTTGACTTTATTTATGTCTTGCATAACAGATTTCTCAAAGGAAATCATTTCATCCGAAATGAAATTATTTGGGAAAAAGAGAAAAGAGAAAAGTCTACTTATTATTATTTTTTTATATATATATATATATATATATACATCTTTTAAACAGTATTGACGTATGAAGTTATGTAGATTGGGTATATATTATTATTATTATTTTTTTAATTACTTTTTTATAAAAAATAAAAAATAATAAATACTATACAAATTTTATATAAATATACATTTTATATGAATTTTATGTATCAGTTAAGACTTTGTATGCTATATGTATTTATTACCTATACTTATTACTTGAAATTAGGAACATACTATATATGTTTTAAATTTAGAAATTTGATTTTAGGAATATATTGTATATATTCTCCGTTTTAAATATGGATTTATAATATGGATCTATATATATGTTTTTGTTGTGTTATTAATACTGTTTTTTTACATGTTTGAGCTATTAAGATGGACTTTTTGGACTTTTCTACTTCATATATTATGCCAAAATGTGATTGGATCTTATAAATTTAAGAAAAACAGTGGAGCATGCTGGGAATTGTAGTATGAATTTGCAAAACTGGAAGTGACGTATCGGCAGTTTCAAGCCGACCCGGAAGTTGACGTCACGGCGCTAGACCGGAAGTGACATCACGGCACCAAACCGGAAGTGACGTCATGCCGCTAAACCGGAAGTGCCGTCACGACGGCCGAAAAAGGCGCAAAAGGAGGATATAAAATCAAACACTAAGGATACCCACAAATACAGACTGAGGAAGCCGAAAAGGACGGCGAAACGCGTTTTTGGATAGAGGAGAGAGAGGATTCTTTTTTATTATACATATGTATATTTTATTTATGTTTATTTTATGTATCAATAAAATTTTTTGTTAGTTATCTTTACTCCATCTCCTCTCCATTTCTGTGGTATCCCTAACTCCCCGGTAACACCGCACATCATGCTCGCGTGCAGGCCGGGGGAAGGGGATAGCGGGATATGCAAAGATAGTTTGTGACCACATCGGCATGCTCCACCCTTCAGGCGTGCCGGAGTGGTCATGGACTCCTCCCCCTGCCCTTCAAATGATAGGTGCCGTGTGTACGGAAAAACACACACGGAACCAATACAAACCAGACTAAGAGGGGTCGCTGTAAACAAATGAATGCCATAGTAACAAGATACATATAGCAAGTGCAGATCAAACAAAGGAGGGTTGTTATAAATCAATAAGTGGTATCCATAATTATGTATTATAAGGCCAAAGTGGTTTATAATAATTAGTGAATTTTTTAAAGGTGCAATGTGCTTGATGAGTATACTTATATATATATTCTTATTGTGATAATTATATAAATTTGTGTATTTTGAGTGGTATTCATAAAGAAATCAATAAAAATATAAAAAGGCTAGGGTTGCACCATTGAATAAAAATTAATAAATTAAATAATGATAAATGCTATTTTGATAAATAAGGTGTATATACATAATATGAGTATAATTATGTAAATATGTGTATAAATATACACATATAAATAGTTGTAAAACTCATAGGTGAATAATTTAAATAAAGGGACAGAGTTCGAAGTTGTAATGGATCACCTGGCACCCCGACTGGGTACCTCGGTTGAAGGATGCTCGTAGCGCTTCCTGAGGGCTCCAAGCACTCTGGCAGACACCACAATCACCGAACCGGAGAAACAAATAAATTCTCCCAAGCATATGAATGCTGTAGACAGTTGAATAGGAACCATACGAATAGGTTTACTCTCCTAGCAGTCAAACTGGAACAGCATACAATAAATCCTTCCCCCAATAATGAGACGACACTTCACTTTGAGGGTTCAAACAGGAACTCCCTGGACTGGTACATACAGCCTCTTTTATTCCGAATCCACAAACTTAGTACTGCCCACAGGGTTTTACAGAACAACCAATCAATCTGTACAATAAACACAGACACTCCCACACAAAGTCCTCCCCTCTGCCTGTAATACAATTACCTTACACAATGGGTAATCTAATTATCACAGACAGAGAAATACAGTTTCATAAAACACATCACAGGGACCCCAAAACATGCAATAACCCCATATATCCTTGGAACCGGGGGATCTGGGTGAACCACATATCCAAAATTCACCCAGATCCGTTCAGTACTTTGGAAGACACAGTTTAATGCAGATTCTGCAGAACATATACAGGCTAAATGAAAAACAATCACTGTATAATGTGTCCCCTGCTGTATAGTCTAAAACCACTGCACGATGTCTCTGTGCCCCAAATACTGGCGAGATGGCACCGTGTTGAAAAGTCCAAACAGTGTCTGTGAGTTAAAATGGCCGCCATCCATTGTTCTCACCATGTGCTTCATCCATTGTTCTCACCATGTGCCTCTGATACAGGAAATGGTGGCCACCATGTAACTCCACAGTATGTCCCCAGATGGTTCTTAAAGGGCCAGCAGCAGCACAACACAAATCCATTATGCCCAAATCATGTCTTTAAAGGGCAATACATCCCAGGGGCCATAGTCACATGGCAGGAGGCTGGCAATCAGTCTTCTCCAATGCCCAGTGGCGAGGTCGGTTTCGCCACAGAAGTCTATATTCAAACCATGGGGTTTTAAAGTCCCAAGGTTGAATATCCACTTCATCTCGCTTTGTCCTAATAATTTCAAAAAATCCCCTCCTCGCCAGTTGCCTTTTAAGAACAAGCGGATAAATTAATTTCAGACCTGCTAAAGAAGGGTTGTGAAAAAGACAAACTAAAAGACACCTTGACGCAGGTTTTAAAAATCCCACAAAGCACTTTATTAACAGAAAAAAACACAACAGAAAACGAAGAACAAACCCATTTACCCATAATATGTAACAATAGCCACAATAATAAAGCACTCAAAAAAATCCTAAACAAACATTGGCCCATTCTACTACAGGACGATGCCTTAACACAAATCCTACCAGCCAAACCCAAAATAGTATTTAGGGGAGCCGCTAATTTAAATAGACTCCTAGTATGAAATCACTTCAAAAAAAACAAAATCACTACCTTTCTAGATAAAGAGAAAGTCTTTTGCGGATGTGGCACATGCCTAGCATGCAGGAATACGAACAATAAAAAAGACACATCACAAAATTTAAAAATTTCAATAATAAAGAGGAATTTCACATCAAAGACCTTATAACCTGCCACTCAAATAACATAATATATTTATTGGAGTGCCCATGCGGTCTTAAATATGTGGGCCGCACTAAACGTAAATTACACACTAGGATAGAGGAACATACTAGAAATATTAAGAAAACATTTGAGGGACACAGCGTATCACATCATTTCTCCCTAGCACATGACAGCGACCCTACACTTCTAAAATTCATGGGTATACATAGGGTAAAAGGCAACTGGCGAGGAGGGGATTTTTTGAAATTATTAGGACAAAGCGAGATGAAGTGGATACTCAACCTTGGGACTTTAAAACCCCATGGTTTGAATATAGACTTTGAACTCTGTCACTTTATTTAAATTATTCACCTATGAGTTTTACAACTATTTATATGTGTATATTTATACACATATTTACATAATTATACTCATATTATGTATATACGCCTTATTTATCAAAATAGCATTTATCAATTATTATTTAATTTATAAATTTTTATTTTTTATTCAATGGTGCAACCCTAGCCTTTTTATATTTTTATTGATTTCTTTATGAATACCACTCAAAATACACAAATTTATATAATTATCACAATAAGAATATATATATAAGTATACTCATCACTTATAAGCACATTGCAACTTTAAAAAATTCACTAATTATTATAAACCACTTTGGCCTTATAATACATAATTATGGATACCACTTATTGATTTATAACAACCCTCCTTTGTTTGATCTGCACTTGCTATATGTATCTTGTTACTATGGCATTAATTTGTTTACAGTGACCCCTCTTAGTCTGGTTTGTATTGGTTCCGTGTGTGTTTTTCCGTACACATGGCACCTATCAATTGAAGGGCAGGGGGAGGAGTCCATGACCACTCCGGCACGCCTGAAGGGTGAAGCATGCCGATGTGGTCACAAACTATCTTTGCATATCCCACTATCCCCTCCCCCCGGCCTGCATGCGAGCATGACGTGCAGTGTGACCGGGGAGTTAGGGAACTTCCGGGCGGCGGCAGAGTGGCGATCACGTGGGTCCGTGACGTCACTTCCGTCAACCGCCCGGACGCATGCGGATCAGTTCCGCCAACCACCACAGGCCACCAATGAAATCTATAGGTAATAAAGGCGCCAGAAATCCAACCCTATTAACCCCTTAAGGACGGAGCCAAATGTACACATTGTGAACAAAACAAAATGTAAACAAAACCTGGCATTTGCGCTACATGTCTGTCCAACCGTAATACACCTCTTTCATAGTAAATGCACCCACCCTTATTATATATCATTTTATTCAGGGGAAACAGGGCTTTCATTTAATATCAAATATTTAGCTATGAAACATAATTTAATATGAAAAAAATGGGAGAAAATACGTTTTTTTTGGATTTTTTTAGTTCTACATGACATTTTAACGGTCAATGTCATAATACTGTTTGCTTTTACTGCAATAAAATACACATATTTATATTCAGTAAAGTCTCACGTGTAAGACAGTACCCCCTATGTACAGGTTTTATGGCGTTTTGGGAAGTTACAGGGTCAAATATAGCACGCTACATTTGAAATTGAAATTTGCCAGATTGGTTACGTTGCCTTTGAGACTGTATAGTAGCCTGGGAATTAAATTTACACCCATAATGGCATACCATTTGCAATAGTAGACAACCCAAGGTATTGCAAATGGGGTATGTCCAGTCTTTTTTAGTAGCCATTTGGTCACAAACACTGGCCAAAGTTAGCGTTAGTATTTGTTTGTGTGTGAAAAATGCAAAAAATGCCAATTTTGGCCAGTGTTTGTGACTAAGTGGCTACTAAAAAAGACTGGACATACCCCGTTTGCAATACCTTGGGTTGTCTACTATTGCAAATGGTATGCCATCATAGGGGTAATTTTCATTCTTGGGCTACCATAGGGTCTCGAAGGCAACATAACCAATCTGGCGAATTTTAATGTGAAAAAACTGAAATGCAAGCCTTATATTTGACGCTGTAACTTTTGAAAACACCATAAAACCTGTACATGAGGGGTACTGTTGTACTCGGGAGACTTCGCTGAACACAAATATTTGTGTTTCAAAACAGTAAAAAAGTATCACAGCAATAATATCGTCCGTGTAAGTGCTGTTTGTGCGTGAAAAATGCAAAAAACGTCACTTTTACTGGCGATATCATCGTTGTAATACATTTTACTGTTTTGAAACACTAATATTTGTGTTCAGCGAAGTCTCCCGAGTAGAACAGTACCCCCCATGTACAGGTTTTATGGTGTCTTGGAAAGTTATAGGGTTAAATATAGTGCTAGCAAATTAAATTTCTTTACTTTCGGCATGGTTGTCAGGCAGGTCCTGCTAATTGTAATAATTAAGATACCTAATTATGTAAAAATATTACATAAATATATATGTAGAATTATATGTATATATATACGTATGTGTATATATGTATATATCTATATAATTTTTTAAAATATTTTTATTTATATATAGGTATATATATAGTGATATATACGTATATATTTATGTATATAGATATATATATTATTTCGTTCTACGTGTATTTTGATATATATATATATATATTAATTTCACAAAACAGTTAGAACGAAATGACACACATCTATATATTTTTTAATTATTTATTTTTAATTATTTTTTTAATTTTATTTTTTAACGTATTTACATTTTTATTTTTTTTACATTATATATAAATATATATATAACAATAATTATATATATATTTAATTAGTATCAGTCTATGTGTAATTTGATATTAATATATATATATATAATTATATATATATTAATAGTAAAATACACCTAGACGGTGTATGTGTGTGTATGTATATGTGTATATATATATACTTAGATCATATATATATAATATATATATATGATCTAAGTATATATAATTATTTTTTTTTACACCATTAACTTATTTTTATTTTATTTTCAGCCAGCAGGGGGACCACCTGTCATTACAGGCAGCCCCCCTGCCGGCAATACAGAAGCCAGCTATCCCGGCCATGTGATTGTGGGGTCCTCGCTAGGACCCCACTCTCACATGGCCGGGGGGCTTCGACGAGGACGGACGTGCCGCGGGGGGCTCCCTGGGAGTCCCCCCAACCGCGATCGCCGGCGTGGGACCGCCGGTGACCGGGTAAGTTAACAAAAACCGGAGGGCGTACAATTACGCCCGGCGGCATTTAGAGCCGCCTATTAGAGGGCGTAATTGTACGTCCTCCGGTTTTAAGGGGTATATACATAATTCACTATACAAAGAAAATATAAACTTCATTATGATTGGACAGAATGGACTGAACCCCTAAAAACACTTAAAATGGAAGATC